CCGTTAACCATATGCGGGGGCACAATACCAGAGGGCATATGTTCCATCGTGCCAGACGGCATAGGAGCCATCGAACCGGTCATGGTGCTAGCAGCAGGCATAACATCCATCGACGTCGAGCTCATAACAGGAAACTCGCTGCTCGGCTTGAAACCCCTGCAGAGGCCGCCACTGCAAATGTTATACGCACACTGATCATCGCTGCTGCACTCGGCGTTGAAGTTTCCGCATCGAGCGATCAGCATGGCGTTGCTAGCCCAGCACTGCACGCCATTGGCACACTGGTCAGGCTTGACGTAGGGGTTGCAGTCCGCGCCGAGGGGCAGGGAACCCGCGGGCGCGACGATAGTGGGTGACGGGGCGGGCTGAGGGCCTTGATTGGTGGGTGTGACGGCGCCGCTGGTGGGCATTGCTGACGCCGACGATGGGGCCGAAGATGAGGCGAGGAAGCCGTTGCAGAGGCCGTCGGACAGGTTGCAGGTGTTGTACGCGCATTGCTCGTCGCGCGTGCATGAGGCTTGGAAGTTGCCGCAGACGGGGATGAGGCCGGAGTTTACGGCGTAGCAGTTGGCGCCGAGGGCGCAGGGTACGCCGCCTGGTGTGCAGTTCGAGCCAACGGGGATGGTGGTGCCTGTGGGGGATGCGGTGGCGGGTGTGGATGTGGTTTGCGCTGAGGCGAGGGTCGCGGCTGCGGCGATGGTGAAGATTGTGTAACGCATTTTGGTTGTTGTTGTAGATGGTGCTTCGTGAAGAGAGTGGTGTTGAGATGCTGGAATGAACGAAGCGAGTGTCGTATGCTTGTGAAGATGTGGTGATGTTGTGATGGAGATGAGAATGATGCGAACGAGAGTGAGACTATATACTCATAGTCCTCGTGTTGTTGCGCGGTTTAAACTGTCGTACCTGGACGACCATAGTTCAGCTAACACCTAGCGCTCGTAACCAGCCTCTCGATTCGCCACAAGGTGCCGGTTACACGGGGCTACCGCGAATGACGATGTCCAAAGAGCCGAAGCTATCTCCGCAATTGACACGCGTCCGTGCTTTAAAGCTTGAATAGAATATTTTTGGACCTTCTAGCGCTGTACAGCGTCGTCGGGATGTTGCATCTCGGCCTCGCGGAGTGGCGCCGATGGGAGCCGCAGTGGCCGCGTCGCTCCGACCGAACGTTGGCGCATTATGATCTTTCTTCGTTGGAAGTCTCGACTTCGCGACTTGTGCAGTCCACGCAATGTGAGGCGCGTCTTCTCTTCTAGATGCTCTGACATGCGCAATGCTCTACACAAGTGACGAGACGCTTGTGAGCAAGTAAGACTTGGAGCTTGTCATCTGCACGGGCCGCCAAATTGCGGAGTTCAATGCGCTCGCCGATCATCCCAATTCTTTGGCCCACTCTCCCAGCCATCTTCCCTAAACACCAGACATCTTGGGCTACCATCGTCATCAGTCCATGCTCTGAACATGCCTCCACAGTTAAAGTCTTGTACTACTGTTACTTTGCTGCCGACAAGCTCTATGCCGATGATACCACCGGTGCCTTCATGGGTTGCGCCCCAACGGTCTCCAGCAGATCGTTGAAGCTCGCCGCCAGGTCCTGCCATCCACGTTGCTGCGCTGGAGAGCGATGAGCCCGAGAACCTTGATCTGGCAGCTGTAGTGCGTGCTGCGCACGTGCGAAGGAACGAGTCGCCGTTGCCTGTCCCTGAGAGACCCACGGCGTGGCGCATCGACACGGGCTTCTCGTATGGCTGTGCTGGCGATGATGTAGTTGCTCGTGTCGAGGGTGATCCAAGCGAAGGTAGACAGTCGCCCACTATCCCACGTATATCGCCTCGTGATAGTTTGTCGATCGGCGAGGCGACGCAGGGAGTAGGCTGATACAGCATCTGCGGTCCAGCAGCCTTCTCGTCGCGCCACTCTTCAGCCCAGAACCCTGCACCGATGGTCGGCGTATCTCCAATGCGTCCAGGAACTTTGTTCGTCAAGCCACCTGTCGATGTTGCCGTGCAGACGGTACCGAAGCTGTCAACAACGACCGCGCCACACGTTCCAAGCGGAATGTAGTTATCCTTCACCCAGTCGCTCATGGCGTCGACGCTGACGCCTCTCGGTGCCTTCTTGGCGTCTTCCGCAAGGCCGCGTTGATGTTCATCCCACCTCTTCTGGGTGAAGAAGTAGCTTGGGTCGACGATGTCGAGCCCCCAGTCCTTGGCGAGTCCCTCTACGAACTTTCCGCTATATTGGCAGTGGTCGGCTGCACCACCGCCGTCTACTTCTTCGCCTTTGATGAGTAACTCTCTCGCCAGCTTGATGGGGTTCTTGACGTGGCTGAGCAGCATACATCCGACGCCTCGTTTCTTATAGCCGTTCGAAACCATGATGCTGCATTCGAGTTCGTTCTTGCCCTCGCGCGTGAAGACTGCGCCTTTGCCGGAGTTGTATAGCGGGTCATCTTCCAGAAGTGTGACGGCGTAGGTCGCAACGTCCAGCGCGGTCGAGCCTGGTTTGTGAAGAAGCCCCTCTGCTTTCTCGAGGATGGTGAGAAGCGAGGCGCGGTACTCATCGTAGCGATCACGGGGTATCGAGGTGCGCGTTAGATTGCCCGCACCACCATGGATAATGATGCGGGGCTTCACATGAGCGCTCGCACTCGCGGACACAGCCCGCTTCTCGGTCATAGTATCTAGTTGGCTGTTGTTGAAGTTTCCTGGATTGTGCACTGTGATGTTGGCGATAAGGCCTGCGCGGGTGGACGGGTAGGTGCCGGAGGCGACCGGTGAGATAGCGCTAACCGAGGCTGGGTTAGCGTGCGTTTGCTGTGCCACCTTCCAAGTCTTCTCGCGACGTGATCTTCGTCCCTTGCCTTGCCCCTCATCACGGGCGCACCAATACATACCTCAGTAATCTCAGCTTTGTCCTAGAACCACACCCTGCCGCATGCGACCGGTCCCGACAACCCCGTTATGGCATTCATCGTTCGCTGTCGAATGTACATCGGCTGAGACTTTGTTCAGCCTTGTGGACGACAGTGCATTTGACAACATCCTGTCGCAAACATGCGGCTACTCAACACCACCACGCTAGAGGTGCACGAGTTTCTGGAAAGCCGAGTGCCCGAGTATGTCATCCTCTCTCACACTTGGAGGGAAGAGGAAGTTACTCTTCAGGACCTTTTGTCTGGCAAAGCACCGGGGAAGAAAGGCTATGCAAAGCTTACGGGCTGTTGCAAGAAAGCGAAAGACGATGGTTTTGCTTACTGTTGGATTGACACTTGTTGCATCGACAAAACTTCAAGCGCTGAGTTATCTGAGGCCATCAACTCTATGTACCAATGGTATAAGGATGCGTGCATCTGTTACGCATACCTTGAGGACGTTTACCAGAACCCCGAAATAGACGGTTCCAGAGAATTAAGTGATTCGAAGTGGTTTACACGCGGGTGGACATTACAAGAGCTTATCGCGCCTCCAATCGTGGAGTTTTATGACGCTCTCTGGTCAGAACTTGGAACACGCAACAGCCTCCAATCCCAGTTGGCATACCTTACTGGTATCAACCGAGACGTACTCACTGGTGGAGATCCTCTTCGTTATGCGGTTGCCGTAAGGCTGTCATGGGCAGCACGTCGGCAGACTAGTCGCTTGGAGGACAAGGCATACTGCCTTTTTGGAATACTCGGTGTGAACATGCCTCTTCTTTACGGCGAAGGCAAACGCGCGTTTCGGCGCCTTCAGGAAGAATTGCTTCGGGTTGACGAAGACTACACTCTCTTTGCCTGGGACGCACCTTTACAGAGAGAAAGCCTCTTAGCCAGTTCGCCGTTGGATTTTGAAACCTTCACACCAGTGCTCGATTTGCTCCCTGCGGGGCTAGCAGACTTATATAAGGTCGTTAATCGCGACAACTTATCCAAGACTTGTTTCTCCGCATTTCCACCACCCGAAGATCACTCGCCTCCCCGCCTTACCAGCCGTGGTTGCCATCTGAGTTTACCTATATTCCGTTACGAGGAAAGATCTTGTTACGGCTGCCTTGCATGCCTGGAACGTCTAGGGTCCGAAAGCGTCTTCTTATGCGTTATGCTGCGTCCAGTTGACGGTAGCGAACATCGATTTGAAAGAGATTGGGATACCGAGGGGGAGCAGGGTACCCTTGTTCTCCTTCCTCAGAGTGCTATGAAAGATTTTCAGTATACTTCTATCTGTGTAATCACATCGATCGACAACGATTCTCTAGATGCGTCTACCTCTAAGACCCAAGACGAAGGTTATTGTATGGTGCGGATTGCGATGAAGCCTACCCTACGCTCCGAGATTGCGCGGTTCTCACGCGGTGCTCTCATGCGGTTAACTCATGATTTTCCGAACTATGATTTGTACCAGAATGACACAAGTAGCGGCATTACTGGTGATACAGCTAGACAGCTGCCTACTGAGGAGCGGTATACCGGACGCGAAAGCAGCGTTTTCGAGTACAACTTTGACCTCAAAGTTGGTCTACGACTAAGGATCCTCGTTCACGTACGCGTAAATCAGAATCCTCATCTTTCCGTTGAGATCATGCCTTGCACTGGTGAGGCAGATGCGGGGCTAGCTCGACTAGCGCGACCATCGGTAATACCACTACCACTATACGTACCATCATCATATTTACCACCACGTCTACCACTACAGCCAAAGCCGGATCACGCTCTCGATCGTAAAATTGTTCAAATCCAGGAACCAGCAGGCGGCAAAGACTTTAACTGGTCTATCCGCTTGTCCATACGGCGTGTAGCTTCAACACCTTCTCCACACCGTACAAAGCAGTACGTGCTTACACTGGAGAAAGAACGATCGTTAACTTGGGACGGCGGCACTATCGCGTGAAATATAAAGCTCTATTTGGTCTTGGAGATGGATTAAACACTGGCGCCTGGAAGATACCCCCGAATTCGAGGTTGTAGTCTACAGCGCACCAGTTCAATTCGCGGAAGTATCAACATAACGAACCTCGACCCCTCATGTCAGCGTATTCCCATCCCCACCCCCAACCCCCCCATCCACCCCCGTCCTCTCAACCTCAACCCCCTCCCTCCTCTCCCTCACCCTCTCCACCACCCCCGCCGCCCCCTCATACCCAACCGCCTTCAACCACACCGGATCAATATTCTCCACCGCCAAATACGGACTAACATCCGCCTCGGGAAACAACTTATTCCTCATCGCATACCCCATACCCAGACTTGCCCAAGGATTCTCATGCATATACTCAATCTCAAAGTCTTCATACCTCGGCGTCTCGATAACCTCAGCATACTGGTTCGAGGAACCGGGCCACACGGCGTTGACCCGCCCCGTATCGTTGTTCTTGTACCAGGATCTGCATGGGCCTTTCCAGACGGTGTGTTTGATCCATTCCTGGGCGTGGGCGTTGAAGGCGTCGGTGATGGATTGGCGGGGGACCCAGGATTTGATGTGGTCGCGTTGCATCTTTTTGATGATTTGGATGGTGTATTCTGCGACGGCGAGGAGGGGGCCGGTGACGGACCCGTTTTCGACCGGCCAGGTTGGGCCGACGAATATGAGCCAATTGGGCATGTCGGGGCAGGCGAGACCGAGGTAGCCTTTGGGCTCGTGTTTCCATTTTTCGTAGAGGTCGACGCCGTTGCGGCCGATGATGGGGAAGCGGGGGCGGTAGGTTACGTCGAAGCCGGTGGCGCAGACGATGGTGTCGACGGGGCGCTCGATGCCGTCGACGCCGATGACGCCGGTTTCGGTAATTTCGTTTACGGCGGTGAAGTGGACGGAGACGTTGGGCTCTTGGATGGCTTTCATGTAAGGGTCGCCTGGGGTGATGCGACGGCCTGCAGGAAGTCAGTGACGGAGCTTTTTCTTCAAAACTGTATGCAACTTACAGCCAACCTCGAACTTCGGGGTAAATCCCTCCAAGAGTCGTTCGTCCTTGAGGAACTCCTTCATCCTCTCTCTGAACAGCTCTTGCGCACCCTTCTGCGCTTCACTCCCGGCGTAGAACGCGCCCCACAACCCGTTGACCTGGTTCTCGATATCTTTGGCATGCGCAACGAGCTTGCGCGGATCTTTCCGAAACTCATCGCGCTCTTCTTGCGAGTACTCCTTATTCTGGCCGTAGTTGTTCGCGATTTGGACGAACCAAACTCCGGTTCGGACGAAGATATCCATGTGCTTTACATGGGGTTGCATAGTCGGTACGGTCTGAATGGAAGAAGCACCAGATCCAATGACAGCCACGCGATCATCCCTCCACTGCTCACTTTGATAATCTTTCGGCCATGTCGCGGTGTGGACGATGCGACCCTTGAAGCTGTTGATGCCTTTGATACCTGGCCACTTGTAGTTGTTCAAGATGCCGGAAGCGTAGAGAAGAAGATCGCATTCCTCTTCGAACTCTCGTTCTTCACCGGAAGATGACGTCTGGCGGAGCGTGACCTTCCACTTGCCGACGTCGTCTTGCCATTCGGCTCGTACGGCTTCGGTGTTGAAGGTCATGTACTTGCGCAGGTCGAATACGTCGCAGACCTTTTCGAGGTACTTTTGGATGTCTGGTGCGTAGGAGAAGAAGCGCGGCCAGTCTGGGTTGAGGGCGAAGTTGAGGGTGTAGGCATGCGACGGGATGTCGCAAGCACAACCTGTAAGTGTCAGCTCATTCACGCGATGATTTACTAGTGGATGTACCTGGATACCTGTTTTCGAGCCATGTTCCTCCTAGAGTAGCATTCTTCTCGTAGATGACGTGTTCGACATTCTGCGTGTGTTTCTGTATCTGGTATGCCATTTGAATGCCAGACAAGCCGGCTCCAATAGTAAGCACCTTGAGCTTTCGAGACGAAGGGTCCTGGAATTTGATTAGTCATTTGCTAACAACTAGAGGTATCGGAACACACATTATAGACGATGTCTGGGACGCTGTAGCCGCCAGAACCAGGCGTTGAGTAGTCCCATTGCTTGCCGCTGCCTATCGTGTTCAGATCTGGCGCCATCTTCGGAGCTACGACTCGACTAAAGACTGAGAATGTGGTCGTGAATCTGCTAGAGACTGATGGAACAGCAAAGTGCAACTGAAAGCATCATAACTTTATAGATCGACACCGGGTACTTGTCATCTCACACGACAGCGGACATCGGGCGCCGGGCGTATTAGTCGCCAATGCTGACATCTGTGCGTGACCCAAAGCTGCTCCGTGGAGGACGATTTAGTAGGACAGCATACACCGGGGCGAAGGGTCACAGCCGCAACGTTGACCTGTGATTGATGGTCCAGTCGATACTGTGCGGGGTTGTTGCGGGGTACTACATTTCCGAGGTCGTGAACTAATGAAAGGAGCAAATGACACTCCGGGTAAGGCGTCCAGAAGGAAATGTTCCTGGTCTTATCTGCTTCATCAGCGTGTGCAATTGTTGTACGTGATGACCAAGTTGTTGTACATGGATGACCAAGGTGTCGGCCGAGCTAGGCTTCGACGTGTGGTTGGAGAATCGTGATGCGTTTATTTGTGCTGTTACCACGGTGAGCAGCATGTTCATCTCGTACGAGGGACGGATTCAACACATGCGCTGCGGTATACATAGAAAACCAGAGTGCATGTAAGCTTGATGGTCTCGACGCGCTCGAGCAAGCATGCCTCTCTGCGCGTCGCCAAGTCGTCCTGTCGCGTGCAACGGACGCGCATTCACGCGGGATCTCGCATCCTCGCTGTGACACCAGGGTGGCGATAGCATGGCATTCCGAGCACAGATTAGTTGCGTCGTCGAATTCTTGCAACTTTCTTGATAAGACACTCGCATCACACTCATAGCCGATGTCGATGAACATGCGATGCCTACAGCGAAGGATGCAGGTGCCTAGACGTGACACGACCGTGCACTTGTTAGCGCGCTACGCCCCGCAAGGACGTCATCGCGGTACACCTTCCCCAACAACCTAGCAACACCATGGACGTACCAGTGGGACCAGGACAACCGCTCCGATCCCTCCCTCTAACAACGAGACGAATCGATATCCAAAGTTACTTTACGGCATTGACAGGCCGTGGAGCTGATTTTCCTAAGCCTACTGTGGTGGACACTACGCGACGGGAGCTACTTCGGTACGTACCTAGGTAACAGGGTAGACTAACGGCGCGTCGGCATTAACACTGACACGCTACCAGAGCCATTCATACGCGGCGATATATAGCAGACTGCATACGAAGAGTTCGCAAGAAGATCCAAAAGTCCGTTGATAAAGCTGGAGAAGGCGCGAGCTGGGATGATTGCTACAAGCCTGTTCACAAGTACTTGTGTTTTAGCTCCGCGCAGACAAGGGCGTATAATTCAGCCACCGAGTACGCATCCGTCCCTCTTGAATCGGCCTGACGATGACATTAATGTATGGTATAGGGATCTTGATCGTGTAGTCTATGACTATGGCGCATTGTCTTGCCGGCTACTCACCATGGAAATTATCCATCATCTACCGGAAGATATCAGAAGCAAGATCGCCGCATACTTGACGGACGAAGGCATGCCAGTCATACTGTCTGCGCCGACAGTTGTATCTGACCAGACATGTCTCAATAGACTCACCGCACGGGACGTGCTAGCGAATATGGTCACTGATGGCCGCAAACACCATCTCAACTGGAAATACATGGGCTACATGACACACCACGTCGTAAAGACCTGGTTCCGCGTTAATCACTTCTTTGTCTTCGACTCTGTGGTGTTGGATACTTTCTTCCGCGACATCTGGCTCGGCGACCAGGTCTTCCCCAGCATCGTACCCGCAGAGCACTTGCGTTGTCTGAACGTGGTGTTGCGGGGTGATATGAAAGACTACGAGCCTCAGAAACGTGAATGTACGGGGAGGAATCTATGTATTAGGCCTATGAGGCCGGCGGAGGTGTTTAGCGAGCATCTCGAGCTTGTGCTTAAGATGAAGAAGCTCCGCAGTTTTAGACTGCATGTCATTATCGACGCTGAGGAGTTGGAGCGGGTTGAGGAGATCCTGAGCGCGGTGAGGGGCGTGAGGGCGAGACTGATGAGTAAGAGTGTGAGGGTAAGTTTTACTTGGCGAGGCGAGGAGCTCGATGGGTATTTCAGGGAACTGCAAAAGATTGGGGTGTGAAGTAGCGATATCGTTGGGCGACGATGCCTCTGGGGTCAGTGGACGACTACCGCTCTAGTCCAATAAGACCCTCAACTTGCTGCGCAATCTTGCCAAACGCCATAGCCCGCTCGCCCTCCGGTTCCGCTACCACAGTCGGCTTCCCACGATCAGCATCGTCGCTGATACTCGCATGTAACGGTATCTCGCCTAGCATGTTCAAGTCATACTTCCCACACATGGCCCTGATCTTGTTCATATTCCCAAACACTTCATGCACGTCTCCGCAGCCGGGACATTTGAAGCCCGCCATGTTGCACACCAGACCCAGTAACTTCACATCGACTTTGCGGAACAGTTCAACGCCCTTCACCGCGTCTTTGAGCGACAGATCCTGCGGCGTTGATACGATGAGCGCGCCGTCTAGGATGAGCTGCTGGGTGATTGTGAGTTGGACGTCGCCGGTGCCGGGTGGCATGTCAAGGACTAGGACGTCTAGGCCGCCCCATTCGACTTCGTGGAGGAGTTGCTGCAGGGCTTTCATGACCATGAGACCGCGCCATGCTACTGGTGAGGATTCTGGGATGAGGTAGCCCATGGACATGGACTTTAGGCCATAATTGGAGAGCGGGAGTAGTTGGTTGTCTGGGTTGTGGGATTAGAGGCTGTTAGGGAACTTGATTGGTGTGAGAACTGACTTGCTGACAGTCGGGGTTCGCCGGATAGATTGAGTAAAGTTGGTATTGATGGGCCGAAGATGTCGGTATCAAGGATGCCGGCTTTGTAACCACGACGCGCAAAGCTCAAGGCGAGGTTGACTACAATACTTCAGTATTGTGGAACGGATTTGTCCATGGACGGTAAGATATACCAGCAATAGTACTCTTTCCAACTCCGCCTTTTGCGGATGAGACAGCAATCACTTTCTTCACATCTTTGATATTCCGCTTCTGTGGCAATCCTCGCTGCATGCGCGGCATTTGCGGAGGCGCGCCTGAGCGCGGAAGACCCTGCGCTCGCCATCAGCTATTGCGCATTCGACCATTCTAGCATTTAACATACGAGAGGATTCTCATGCTGCAGGCATCGCAACGTCGAGAACAACCGTGGCTTCAGCATCGTCGTGATAGAGACGGGGGTTGCGGAGTTGATGGCGGAGGTGACGCGCATCGGCGTTTCATTTAGCCGATGTCATTGAACTTTTTTGTGGGGCACAGAGTGAACTTTCTCTTCCGACGCGCTTCACCAGCACCAACAACACCAAACCGCTTGTACACTATGGGCAAGTCAAAGATCAGAGGTATAAACTTTTCCTATATGCGCGACTGGATTTTGCTCATATGACCACCAGATTTCGATCCCGAGTCGCTACTCGACCCTGCGCCGAGCTCTAGCGAAGACGAGCGCTCCGACGCTGAACTCTCCGAAGTTGAAGATGACAATGCCGGGCGCGAACATTATACGTCGGTCGGAAAGAGCAAGTTGAGGAAGCCGGTTGAGGTGCCTCTAGGCCCGGAGTACGCTGGGCGCAAGGTGGACCGCAAAGCACTCGAGGACAGCGACAGCGACGATCCTTTTGCGAAGGGCTTCGACGATATAGACAGCGAGGCCAGTGATGAAGACGAAGAGGATGGCATCAATGGCGTAGAGCTCGATGGCGAAGATGAGAGCGACGAGGAAGACATGAACGGCGAATTCGACGAAGACATGAGCGACGAGGACGAGGAAATGGGAAGCGCAGGCAACAGCGGGAGCGACGACGAGGGCAACGAATCCGAAGGTTCAGACGATGATGAGCCTGGCGCAGACGTCAAAACCGATGCGTCCACGATCCGCGACCTCATGTCCGCCAACAAGTCCTTCACGTCGGGCATCGCTGCTGGCACGCAGTCCGATGTCGCCAAGGGCGAAGCCGTAAAGACCCAACGAAAGACGTTCGATACACTGCTCAACTCGCGGATTCGACTACAAAAGGCTTTGATCTCGACCAACTCCATGGCTGCAGAGCCTTACAAGACAGAGACCGCAAAAGATGCGCCTATCGAGGCAGCCGAGGCAGCTGCCCTGACTCTCCTCAACAACCTCACGAACCTGCGCCTCTCCCTAGAAGAATCGCGAACAGGCCAGAAGCGGAAGCGCCCAACCTTCGACTCCGCGACCCCATCGTCCGAAATCTGGACCACCATTCAAGCCAGCGAGAAAACCACACTCCCCCACCGCAAAGCCGTCCTGGAGCGCTGGTCCAACAAAACCAAAGCCACAACCGTCACAAACAACAAAGCGCGCCTCAACGCATCCGCCCAGCAAACCCTAACCGAAGTCCTCGACTCCCAACTAACATCCCCCCACCTGGTCCTCCGCACCCAAACCCCGCGCTCTTGTGCCCCCCTCCAATCCTCGACCAAGACCCCCCAACCCTCGCCCGCCATCTACGACGACGCCGACTTCTACGGCCTCATGCTCAAAGAGCTCCTCGAGCAGCGCTCCGCCGACCTCAACAGCAACGGAACCGCTGAATTTGTTGTGCAGGCGCCGTGGCAGGTTGCGCGCGAGGCTAAGACGAAGAAGGTTGTTGATACGAAGGCCAGTAAGGGGAGGAGGTTGCGGTATACGGTGCAGGAGAAACTGCAGAATTTTATGGCGCCCGAGGAGAGGGGGCAGTGGGGGGATAGGCAGAGGGATGAGTTGTTTGGGAGTTTGTTTGGGCAGAGGGTGGGGCTTGGGGAGGAGGATGGGGGGGAGAGTGAGGGAGAGGAGGGTGTGGATGCTGAAGAGGCGGGGTTGATGTTGTTTAGGAGTTAGGGGTGAGGAGGTGGATGGCAGATTCATGTTGCGCAGCTGGCCTGATGTTGTTAGAAAGTATATTATACTTGCGATTTCTCTCGTTCATGAGAGTATCTCTTCGTCAAGGTCGTCTATGTTGCGGAGGTTAGACATAGGTGGGCTGAGGGGATTCAAGGCAGATCAGTTCGCGAAGATCTTGGTCTGTCTTCACTGTCTTTGCTGTCCTTGTCCCCGGGCTGCCGTTCATGGTGGTTAGGCTTGATCGCGCAGTAGTGAGTTGTCTCGTTGGCTGCTTTACGGTTTTGGTGGCGCATGTCAGCGAGCTCAGCCCCCAATCTGCATGCGCATCTTCGTTGGCGCGACCAATCCCATCTTTTCCTTCCAGCCACTCGCTCAGCCATCGCTTCTCAGCCTTGAACTATCATGCCATATCTATAAGGTAGCCTTCCCGCGCTCTTGATTGTGACTTTGATTCCATCCGACATCGAACTAACATGCCACCGTTCAACGCGTCGCACTCACACCTCGCGCACAATGCAACGTTCAATGCCAGCGTCCCTACGAACACGACTTGCTGTATGTTGCGTTTCAGTCCAACCTCATCAATATTCTAACTGACGTACTGACAGCCGATGCTTCATTGACACACGGCGTGTCATGGCAAAGCGCGTACTGGTCCGTCATGGCCTGCTCTCTAGCCGTCCTCCTACAAGAGACGGGAAAAGTCGTCAATGCACCATACCGTATCAGCTATGCTCTACGCGCATCTCCGCTTATCTGTGCGATCGACACTTTCCTCATGTTGGTGAAGTTCGTAGTCCTGATGGCTGTGGGTTGCTCGCCTCGAACTGCAGTCAAGCATGTCTGGTATGATCGCTTTGTGGAAGATGAAGATATAGGGGATGCATCGTGGGTGGTTTGGGTTTGGCGGGACTTTGCGCGGACAAAGGATCAGAGCAGTACGACTGCTGTCGACGCCTCCAGCATGGCAGCTCCACAAGACAATGTTCCTCCTGTCGATGGTGAAGCTCAGGGTACATTCTTGGCTGCTCTTTCTAGTCACGACAATGAAGAAAGCCGTTTAGCAGACATGCAAAACCCGACTACTATAACTCCCAGCGGAACGGTCGAACATGCTTCAATTGTGCATCACGAACAGTCTCCAAACAACGCTACCGGCGAAGCCTCACCCACAGTCGGACCATCGCTTGATCGTCCCAGCCCTTCCAAAGAGTCTGTCACGTACATGAAAGATCTCCCTGGCTGCGCCGTCGATCGCAGCTGGAGACTGAGTATGGTCAGCTTCATCTTCGGCGCATTACCGCAGGCCGTCAAGGTCTTCGCTATGAAGGGAATACCGGTTACACAGATTGTGGTCGCCTTTTTACTCAGCTCATTCGTCACCGCGGAGGTTTTCCGCTCGGTTGCTGGGCCCGTTGGTCTTTCCAATCTTTGTCACTCACCAGGCGTCCTTCGTTGCAAAAGAATTCTGGCATCCACGCATTTTACGCACCTCGCTTTCATCGCGTGTTATCTTTATCTCATTCTCTTTTCGTTTGTTATGGTGCTTTTGACCGTTCCGGGACCGGCAGGCTTGATACGTAACGGGGTATTTGCCTGTAGTATCTTGTCCTGCTTTGCAGTTACATCGTGGGTCTCAAATCGCACGGTTGATCTGCTCGAACACTACGTCTTCTCTGAGGCTTTTACAGCTTATGTCAAGAGCAGGTCGCTATACATCAGCCGCAACAAGCCTTTCGATAGATTTCGTGCAAAGCTGTTGTTACTCGTTCCGAATGCACTTATGCTAGGACCGTCTCGTGTAGAGTCGTATGCTACTTGGATGGTTGTGTTTCCAGGCTTCTTTGCTGGTGTCGCGTGGGTCTACTGGCGGCTCTCCTCCTTGATGGTTAACTTTAGCTGGGGTACGTTCGCGATAGTCATGAGCCCTGCTTGGATGATCACGCCTGCGTATATTCTCATACTATCGCACTTCTTGTATCAGCTCATATTTGCGAGTTCCCTTGCCGATCCTATCCGATATATATGCGGCGTACAGGGCACGCTAGACGAGTTTGCAACAGGAACGTTTCTTATCTTTAACTTAGGGCTTACGCTCTACATGTATAGTGTTGTATCTGGATTTGATAATGACTTAACGTTTAAGCCTGATTGGACGGAAATGCTGGGATGAACAGAGAAACACATTAAATTATTCCCTCGACTCTAGTACTCCAACGTGCATTCGAGAGATAGCAAGTACTGTGTACCAGACCTCATCACTAAATCGGCGGCTTCTCCTCCCCCTCCTGATACTCCACAGCAATCTTCTTCGCCCCCTTCGTCGGCTCGGGCCAACTCGTCCTCCTCCTCGCCCTAACATAAAAGTTCATGGGCCGAATAAGCTGAAACTCAGGGTCATACGTCACCGCCTCCTCTCCCTCCTTACTAAACTCATACCTGTAGACCAACTCCGGAAGCAACACTTTAACCTCCCCAAGCGCAAAGTTGAAGCCAATACAACTACGCGGGCCAGTTGCAAAAGGCATGTACGAGTTCTTAGGGCGGTTGGAAACCTCCTCGGTGCCCCAGCGGTCGGGGTCGAAACGATCGGGGTTAGACCAGATGGACGGGTTGTTGTGGATGGCGTGCAGGGCGCAGATGACGACGGAGCCGGCGGGCAGTTTGTAGCCACCTGGTACGATACAATCGACCTTAGCGGTGCGACCGGGTTGGAAAGAAGGGTTATGCAAGCGCTGAGTCTCCTTGACGAACTTGTCGAGGAAAGTGAGGCCGTCGGAGAGTTCAGGTGTCCACTTTGTGTTCTCGTTTACGCCGGCGTCGACGAGTTCCTGGAGGAGCCGCTCTTGGTTGCCTTCGTAGACGCAGAGGGAGTAGAGGAGCCAGGAGAGGAGGGAGGAGGTGGTTGTGAAGCCCGCGCCGGAGATGGGGAGCATGTTTGGGATGACGAGTTCGCGGGGGAGTTTGTTGCCGTTGTCGTCGGTGGCGCGCTTGAGGTAGTCGACTACGCAGCTTGCTCCTAGGGCTGCGGATTGCAGGGGTAGGTCGTCTTCGTTGCTTCCCTTTGGTGCTTGGTCGATTGCTTGGTTGAGGATGGTCCAGAGTCTGTAGCGGATCTTGTCCAGGTCGTAGGCTGCTGTGAAGGGGATGGCGCTGAGCTTTGCGTACCAGGCACCTCTTGACGCGACCTTTTTGTTCAGGGAGAGTGATTGGGCGATCAAGATGACTAGCTCGCTCAGAGGCGCATCTGGGTTGTCGAAGTGGTGGGCGTCGTATCCGAGCGCAAACTTGAAGACGGTCTGAGATGCGAGCTTCAGCATGTACTGGTAAACGTTCCAGGCTTCGCCCTGCTCATCGAGCTGGTCAAAGACTTTGAACGAGTCCTTCACCGAAGCTTCCATCAGAGGTGTGTAGTGTCTGATAGCCTTGGGTGCCATGGAAGGCGGGATGAACTTATGCGCTTGCCTCCACGCATCGGTGTCGGTATCGCAAATGAACAACGCCCTGTTGTCCTTGATACCCGCCAAAGGATGCTCGGGAGTGATGTGTTTGCTGAAGAACGCCGACTCCTGGAAAGCCACGGTCGCAATAGCAGGGTCATTGGTCAAGTAATTCTGCTTGCCCATCGTCTCGTACTTGATCAAAGATCCGTACTTCTGGAAAAGACGCGCATGATTTCCCTGAGCTGGTTAGTGGCAATACGCGCGCCTGTCAAGTTGAACTCACGAGATGATCGGGAAAGACCTCGTAGTAGCTGCCCACGAAAGGAAGGCCCTCTGGGCCTGAAGGGTCGCGAATGGCCTGTCCGTCGACCGTAATGCCTATATCTTCGTCGCAATCCAATACATCGTCCAAATCGTGGAGGTCCTGTCCCTTGGCATCTTGCAGCCCGATACCTGCAGATCGTAAGTCCATGTCCACACCAATGCAATCATCTTACATACCAGTCGATTGAATAATATTGTACTGCTCCGCTACAGCAACCTGCAGCGCCTCAAAGTCATGATACTGATCAATGTGAATATCCTGACGAAAGACATTCTTGTCCTGCCCAACGAGGTAAAAGCCCTTGATAGTCATGGTGCGATTCAATGAAGTTTGGAATAACGGGTGAGCGTCGCAATCTTGACAGGACTATAACGCGACTAAATGAGAGCACACCAAACTACGTATCCATCCGCAACCCACCACCTGCAGGTCTCGTCTAGTCTGTAAATATGACGCATCGCCACTGACCATCCTCCGGCGCAGGCTTCATCGTACGAAAAGCGCCGAAGAGCCCAATGCGCCATACCAATGCGCCAAAATAAAGCAAAAAACACTGCAGGTCGTGCGAGCCAGCGAGCCAGCCCGGCCGAAGCGTTGATCGAAATTTCGCTCGAGGTAACAGTTTTGTTGTTGGGCCATGACAAATGACAGCGCTATTGCAGAGCGGCTACCACGAGGTGTCCGGTGTTAGTGGAGCCAAGCCCCCACTTACCTCGGCACAGCGAGGCTTAAACCAATCAAGCCTCCGCTGACAATCGGAGGTGCCACCATGCGAGTGGCTTCGTCCAAGCCTTACGCGCAACGATCTTGCTGCATCCTGGTGCTGCGAATGTCCGAGATCTCGGTCGCGGCGCATGCGTAGTGGATCGGTATGCCGGTTGCATGAGGCTATTGCGACGATGAAGGGTCTTGGCCACAGGCCTTCATCGTTGCCATTCTTCTCCCTGGCGCCCCTTTAGTGACGGACGGAACGCATCCATCTCTTTCGATTCTCTCAGCCATTGCAACCGGACCATCACGAGACGGGCGCGTAAACAAGAAGACACCATGGCCGACGGCGTATACACTCTCCAAGAGGTATCTCAGCATACCAGCAGAACCGATCTATGGGTCACCCTCTGGAACCACGTCTACAACGTAACCGACTACCAAGAAGACCACCCAGGCGGTAAAGAGTTCCTACTCGAGAACGCCGGCACAGACGCAACAACCGCCTACGAAGACATCGGCCATTCCACAGACGCACGAGAGATCCTCGAGAACTTCCGCATTGGGCGCATCGCAGACGAGGACTGGACGGACCATGAAGCCGCGAAGATGCCCACGATCACGCCGAGCAGGGTGCATGTTGTCAACAACTTGCCGCCGCCGAAATCGTGGCGGTTGCATCTTGGTGCTATTGGATTTGGTCTGACATCCGTCGTGCTCTCCATTGTCGCAGGACGAAGATTCTCGCCACTCCTGCACCGTCTCCAAAGCGCAGGGTTCTGGAAAGGCTTCGCCGTGTCTTCCATCGCGAGTATGGTCCTAGCCGGCTACGCCAGCCTCTGGGCAACCAAGAGCTTCGACGTCGCGCACAAAGACTTCCAATCCTACCCCGCGCACATCAAAGCGAAATCCATGTCTTCGAAACCGACGAAGAAGAAGGACATCAACCTCGGTGTGCTCAACGCCCGCGTCTACCAACCTTTCCCTTTAATCGAAAAGTTCAACGTCTCCCACGACACAATCCGCTTCGTCTTCGGGCTGCCGAATGAGAACTCCGTCTTAGGGTTGCCGACGGGCCAACACATTGCCATCAGGCACGAAGTCGACGGGAAGCAACTCGCGCGCTCGTACACGCCTACGTCCAGCAACAAGGACCGCGGGCGTCTCGAACTGACTGTCAAGATCTACGAAGGCGGTAAACTGACACCCTGGTTGAGCAAGCTAAACGTCGGCGATATGGTCGAAATCCGGGGTCCAAAAGGCGAGATGAAGTACCACAAGAACCTCGTCAAAGAACTCGGTATGATTGCTGGTGGCACGGGTATAACACCCATGTTCCAGATCATTCGTCGTATCTGCGAAGACCCGCGCGATGATACTAAGACGACGCTGCTGTATGCCAACAAGACCGAAGCCGACATTCTGCTTAAAGAGGAACTCGACAGGTTTGCGGCGCAGTACGAGCAGTTCAATGTGCACTATGTTTTGAGCAGCCCTTCGGAGAGCTGGACGGGCGACAAGGGCCGTATCAGCAAGGAGATGATTGAGCGGCGTTTGCCTGCGCCGGCTGGGATGGATAGCAAGGTTCTTGTTTGTGGGCCGGATCCGATGATGGAGAGTATGGTTGGGTATTTGCAGGAACGCGGGTTTAAGGCACCGGGTATGTTGAGACTATCTGATGATATTGCTTGGAATACTGCTAACGAGGGCTTAGGCAAAATATCGAAGCCTCAGGATGAGATCTTCACTTTCCAGTGATTATTCTGTGCAGTCTGCTATGGAGTTGGGGGTTGAGGGACGGTTGTCGCAGCAGTATTGTCGGAGTAGTTGGGCTAGACTGGACTGGGTGTGGATTTGGGCCTGTTCAATACACATCTGTCATAATCTATCGCAAATATCAACCTTTCCAAAATGAAATTTACCATCAACCAACCCTTCACTTCCCAACTCCTGCGCGCGCATCCCGACAATCGTCATAGTCGCACATTGACAAAAAACCCAAGTTCGCGCAGCACGCATGCAGTTCGGCCGACATACCACCGCCCAACGTCTCGCACGCCCCAACGCCCATCTCGCACGACACAAAAAGCACCGTACGAATGACGTCGCCACCGGAGCGGCACTGCACGGATGTCTACCGAGCTATTGGGCAGTGACGCAACACCTACATGCTTCTAGGCTGCATTAGCGTTAACCAATGGTATACAACATGCATCTAGACGCGCTGGAGAAAGTCGCGGTATCAGCGATAACCCAGCAGCAGCAGTTACCGTCTGAACTAACATATCAGGATAACGAAAAATGTCTCTTTGCGCAAGACGACTGACAAGAGGCGTTCGGCGTATCTCGGCCGAGCCCTCTGCGAGCTATGCGACGACGCGATGTTTGAGCACGCGTATAACTACACGGGAACTCAAAGCGAGGAGTGTCAACACAGCTTTTCGCACTCGATCAACATCGTTATCATACTCAATCATGTCGAATACGCAAACACGAGCTGCATCCAGCAACCCCCCATCGCAATGGACGGCACCAGACACATCATCTCGACCAGTCGCTGTTCTGGGCGGAGGAGTCCTCGGTCGACGAATCGCTGCTTCATGGGTCGCTGCTGGCTATGAGGTCGTGTTGTGCGATCTCAGTGACGAGCAGAGGAACGCCGCGACACACTACATCGAACACCACATGGACGAATTCTCGAAACTCACCGGTAACGCACGGAAACCAACGCAATTCAACACCGTCAAAGACATTGAAGAGGCAGTCAAGAACGCGTGGTTGGTAGTTGAAGCATTGCCAGAGAAGCTTCCGTTGAAGATCGACATCATGGGCCAGCTTCAGCAACAAGCACCGAAGGATTGTATCCTGGCTTCCAACTCTTCGTCGTACAAGTCGCGGTTCATGCTCGATAAGGTGGACGCGGGTAGTCGGCATCGCGTTTGCAATATGCATTACTACATGCCTCCGGGCAACAACGTTGTCGAACTCATGACGTGCGGTGAGACGCATGCAGACATTCTGCCGTTTCTGCAGAGCAAACTTCATGATGCGGGTATGACTCCGGCTATCGCGCGCAAGGAGTCGACTGGTTTCATCTTCAACCGGTTATGGGCTGCTATTAAGAGGGAGAGTCTGCTCATCATGGCGGAGGGTGTTTCGGAGCCGGAGGAGATCGACAGGCTGTTCTTGACGATGTTCAAGGATAACCCGGTTGGACCTTGCGGGATGATGGATGCAGTAGGATTGGACACGGTTGCGTTCATCGAGAACAACTACGTTGAAGAGCGCGGCGGCGATCCCACAGCGCGAGACTGGGTTCAGAAGAACTTTGTCGAGAAGGGCAAGCTCGGCGCGAAGTCTGGCAAAGGCGGTCTGTATCCCGCTGGTGAGACGACGCGGAGCTCCAAGGATGAGAGCGGCCATCACGACAATCTCGCGGCGCCCAGACTGTACTTCCTCGATATTGGCATCGGAGGCAATGTTACCGACCTGCCGAAGATGGCCACGTCTGGCAAGATAATGACTGCCTCAGCGGACGGAAGTAACGTGCGCGAGATTGTGGGTGGCCAAGCCATGCCAGACGGTATCGACGTGTCCATCTCAGCTGGTCGCATCTTCTGGACGAACATGGGCGCGTCTCCCGCCAAGAACAACGGCAGTGTCATGTCCGCGAACCTCGATGGCACCGACGTTCAAGCCATCATTCCGGAAGGCCAGATCCACACACCGAAGCAACTCAAGATCGACCACGAAAACAAGAAGCTGTACATCTGCGACAGGGAAGGCCTACGCGTCCACCGATGCGACTTTGACGGCAGCAACCACGAGATCATCGTGCAGACCGGCGAATCCAGCTCAGCGGAAGGAGAAGACCAGACCAACTGGTGTGTTGGTATCGCAGTCGACCCTCAGGGCGGGAAGTTTTACTGGTCTCAGAAGGGCCCGTCCAAGGGCGGCAAAGGTCGCATTTTCCGCGCAAACATGCAGATGCCTGCCAATGAGACCGCGTCCTCCCGCTCCGACATCGAATTACTATTCGACCACCTTCCTGAACCTATCGATCTAGAGTTCGAAGCTGAGAGCCAGACCCTGTACTGGACCGACCGCGGCGAGTACCCACTCGGCAACACGCTGAACAAGGCGTATGTAGGTGCCGAGACGAGGGAAGAGAAAGGTGTTGTAACGCTAGCGAGACATTTCCACGAGCCGATTGGATTGAAGATTGATGCTGTGAACCGGCATGTCTACCTGACGGATCTGGGAGGTACTGTGTACAGGTTCGACATGGACGGAGGGAGGAAGAAGAAGATCTACGAGACGGACAGCGCGTACTCTGGTATCGCGCTTGCGCACCTGCACTGAGTAGACATATAGCCCTGTTGTTAGTATCAGTAATGTAATTGTGAAGATGAATTCGAGGCGACTGCAGTGGTGAGACGAGATGTCGGTGTCTGAGCGAAGAGCATTCGCCGACGCACCCACGACCCTCGGCATCCAAAACCCACCGAGGGTCCAAGCTTCTCAACACCAAAACATTCCGACCACCCCACGCGACAATCCCGCTGCGAGCGCCGTCCCTCTCCTTCCACTCCACCCAGGGCGCC